CGACGCCGGCAGCGAGCCGGCCAACGGCCGCCGGCGTCGGCCGACGAGAGAGAGGGAGAGAGAAGGAGAGAGAGAGGGGGGAGATGCATTTGTTATTTTTGTAATAATAATTTATTTTTTATAATTATAGTTTAATTTTGGTAAAACAAAAAACTTATGCAAAAAACCCAAACCCTAATAAAAAATATTCATATTGATGAAATTATAATATAAAAAATTAATTTTAATTAGGGTTAGGGTTAGGGTTAGGGTTAGGCGAGGGTTAGGGTTAGGCGAGGGTTAGGGTTAGGGTTAGGGTTTGGGTTAGGTGATCGAGGGTAGGGTGAGGGTGAGGGGTGGGTGTGAGTTTGAGGGTTAAGGATAGGGTTAGGGTTAGGGTTAGGGGAGGGTGAAGGTGAGGGTGAGGGTGAGGGTTAGGGTTAGGGTTAGGGTTAGGCGAGGGTTAGGGTTAGGGTTTGGGTTAGGATTAGGGTTAGAGGAGGGTTAGGTGAGGGTGTGGGTGATGGTGAGGGTTAGGGTTAGGATTAGGGTTAGGTGAGGGTTGGGGTGAGTGTTAGGGTTAGGTTTAGGGTTAGGTGAGGGTGGGGGTGAGGATCGATAATGGGTTAGCGTAACTATTATATCGCTAATTACATAGAAATTGCACACACTGTACACTCATATTTTCGAGCCGTAGAATACCCCGTCCAATAAATACTATATATAATCTCTTTATTTACTTGTCACATACGCGTACAGGATCGTTGGTGGATACGAGACCATCTTATTCGCTCTGATAACTTTTTTGTACGCGTATGTGAGAGGGGGCTTATATATAAATATTTATTGGATCTGTCCAGTTTGGACGGGTTAGGTTTGTAAACATGGCGTGTATATGTATTTACTTGTGTTCTTGTGTACTTTCTTTTCGTCAGAGTTTCGGCGGCGCTTACTCGTTGTTCTCCGTGTACAAATTGCGGAGGGATATGCATGAGTATATCCTTCCCACTATAGTGTACTCGGAGAACAGCGGGTAGGTGCTGCCGAAATTTTGACGAATTAAAAATATACTTGAACACACGTAAATACATATACACGTCACGTTTACATACCTAATGGGATAGAAGCCTTCCTCTGACAGCCGGTCACACATGCGGTCCTCTGAACACACGTTTACATCCCTAAATTAAAATAATATATGTCGGGATATGCTCACTTCCATTAATTTTTAAATTATAGATGTGGACAGTTCCTGACAAATCGTTCATGAGCATACCACGTGATTGAAGACATCTAGACACCCGGTACAAGGATGGGATAGAAGCTTTCTTAGCCTACTCTAACACAAACCCTCTACGGTCGCTAAGCGGGTCGATTTTCTATCCTTGTAAGAATTGCAGGAACGGTAAAATGCTCGCTAGGAGTGACGTAAGTTTTCATCTGTCAATCAATGGATTTGATAGCTCTTATGTATTTTGGAGTCATCACGGTGAAGGCGTCCCGGTGATGCAATCAGAGGAAGAATTCACTGAAGTCAGCAATCCGACAGTTGACACGACTGATATGTTAGAAGATATTCTTGCAGCGCCGTCGGTGAGTGATGTCAACACTAATGATATGTTTCAAGATGTAGATCGATTGATGAGACTTGTTGAAGAAAACGAGTCACCGTTATACGAGGGGTGTAAGGAGTTCACAAGGCTTTCTTTTATGCTGAGGCTTATTCATATCCAAACACTCAGTGGGATGGCTGTTACACATTTTGAGATGTTATTAGATTTGCTGAGGAAATTCATTCCAGGTGGCGAGAAAAGCATCCCCGCGACCTATTACGAAGCTCACAAGATTGTTGATACGTTGGGGCTTGATTACAAGAAGATAGACGCCTGTCCTAACGACTGCATCTTGTACAATAAGGGTAATGAAGCTCTGGAGGAATGTCCGACGTGTCATGTATCACGTTGGAAAGGAGAAGTTATAAGCACATCCGAAGGCGGTGCATCCAATAAGCAAAACAGAATCCCTGCGAAGGTTCTCCAATATTTTCCAATTATTCCTAGGCTGCAGCGGTTTTATATGTCTGCCGAGCTGGCTGAGAATATACGATGGCACTCGACCGACCGTAAAGAGGATGGGAAACTAAGACATCCTGCGGACAGTGAGGCATGGAAGCATATTGACCGTATATACCCTGACTTCGGTAAAGAGTCTCGGAATATTAGGTTGGGGCTTGCTAGCGACGGATTTAATCTGTTTGGATTAATGAGCTCTGCTTGTGTAGGGTGTAAATTTTGATCTCCCAAAAATAGGGAACTTCGTTTGTATTGATAAGAAGGCTTATTACAAACAAATAAATCAAATGTTTACAACAGAAGCAGAGGGAAGGCCCTCCTTGTTTAACGTGGGTTCCTCGGTGGCGATAGGACGCCTCGCTCGGTGCTCGCGCCGAGTCTGCTTCCCTTGGACGATCCGATCAAAGTTGCTGTCGGAGCTTCAGTACACAGTAGAAAGGCGATCGGGGCTCAGAACTAGGAAGTGGCGCTGCAATGCAAAAGTGATGCAGAGAGTTTGTCGTCGACTCCGTTGGGAGTCGAGAGCCAGTGGTTCAGTTAACTGATTGAATTAATATTTAACTATGTGTGAACCTCTTTCCTGTAGCCGAGCGAGGTTCTTAAATAGAGGAGAGATGGCGTGGCCGCTCCTTGAATCATGGGATGTGACCATACACTGTTGAGAGATATCTTATCGCTCCTCTGTACTACGAACCGTCACTCGATGGGTTGTGCTTCACGTCCTGTCGCCTAGGAGCCGCCGTCCATTCCTCGAGTGGATTGGGCCAGCTCACTGTGCGCTGGCGGTTCCAGCTCTTGACTTGGACCGATGAGCTGAGTTGCATTTATGAACGCGCAGGTTGATCTGGCATCTGTCCGATCACTCGTACCGTGAGCAGTCATTCGACGGGCCTGGAGTACCGTATCTTCTCTCTTCAGGCCGAGAGAGGTGGGAAATCAGGTTCCCGGTACTCGAGTGGGCATGGACAGCTCGCCGAATGCCGGCGGATCCGGCTCCTGATTCGGACAGCCGAGGTGAGCTGCATTTATGAATGTTCAGGTCGACTCGACACCTGCCCAATCATTCGTACTGTGAGCGGCCGCTTGACGGTCTTAGGGTACTGTGCCCTCTCCCTTGATTTGTGGGATTTGACCACTGATATAACTATTTCCATACTCAAAGTGGGCAGTTGACAGTGAGCTGGCGAGTCTGCAGCTTGGGTCTGCAGGCGAGCTTAGGACTGCAGGCAGACTTGGGTCTGCAGGCGAGCTTGCAGGCGAACTGGGTCTGCAGGCGAGCTCAGGTGTGCAGGCAGACTTGGGTCTTGATTGTGCAGGCGAAATTCGAGCTGCAGGCGAGCTCCTGAGCATGGATCGAAGAATAGGCCGTAACTTTCAAACCGTAAGTCGGAATTGGACGAATTATATATGAAAATCGCCTATCTCGATGAGATGGGGCCATTTGAACCGAGCCAAAGGCTTCGGTTCGCTTCCTCCGTTTCGCCAAATTCCTTACGGTTTGGGAGATATCTGCGTTTTCCCCTTTTTATCAGTGTTTTTACCCCCTTTTGCTATTTCGGACGAGATTTTAGCAGTTTTGTTCTGAACTTCTCTGATAAGGATTTAAAGGCAATTTTTATTACCTACAGCTTGGTCTACCTGGCCAGTGTTGCTGACACCGTACAACATGTCGCCGTCGATGTGCATGAAGCAACCGTACATGATACTGTCACTTTTGATCCCTGGAAGATATTCTCCTGGAAATGACATCGATGTTTTCCTCTAACCATTAATTGACTACCTGAAGCTTCTCTGGGAAAAAGGTGTTAGCACTTATGATGCTTATGGTAAGGAGTCTTTCTGTATGCGGGCAATGGTCATGTGGATAATTAATGACTTCCCGGCATACGCTAACCTGTCTGGATGGTCGACGAAGGGTCAGATTGCTTGTCCGATTTGCATGTCATACTATGAGGGAAAGTTCCTGAAATACAGCCGTAAGTTTTGTTATTGGCAACACAGAAGATGGTTGCCTACAGGGCACAAGTTCAGAAAGTTAGTAGGAAAGTTCGACGACAATCTAGAAAGTAGACCGGCACCACCAAGGCTGACCGGAGATGAAATATTTGAGCTTTTATATCCTTTACATAGAAAAATATTTGGAAAAAAAAGATTCAACAAAGAAAATCCATTTGGTGTTAGGAGAAAAATATTGAAGCAAAAATGGAAGAGAAAGGGAAAATCAAAAGGAAATAGGCCTCGCAATGTCCAGTCGCATGAGCGTGTCTCAAAAGGCACCGAACTTCCGCATGGATGGTCAAAATTCAGCATATTTTATCAGCTGCCATATTGGAGAAGTTTAAAAATACGTCACAACTTGGATGTCATGCACATCGAGAAGAACATATGCGAGAATCTCTTGAACACTTTGTTACAGGACGGGAAAAAATCGAAAGATGACTTAAGGGCACGTCGAGACCTAGCAGAATTGAACATTCGTCCGGAACTACAAGCTATAGATAAGGGCGACGGAAAGTTTGAACTCCCAGCCTCCTGTGTCACACTGTTAAAGGATGAGGTCCACAATATGTGTTTATTTCTAAAGTCCGTGAAGACACCGGATGGTTATGCTTCAAACATTTCAGCAAATGTGCATATTGAGGACAGAAAGATTTTGGGACTCAAGACACATGATCATCATATTCTATTACATCAACTTCTCCCGGTTGCGTTGCGACATGCTGACAAGGAACTCACGATGGTGGTAATAGAATTCTGCGGTTTCTTCAAGCAACTGTGCTCTAAGGTGATTGATGTCAGGGAGTTTGAAGAATTAGAGGGACGTGTTGCTAATATATTGTGTAAAATAGAAATACTATTTCCACCCTCATTCTTCATGGTCATGGTGCATCTCACAATACATTTAGCATACGAAGCCCGCATCGCAGGACCAGTTCAATATCACTGGATGTACCCCGTGGAGAGGTACTCATTATTATAATATTCATTTAATATTTGTCAAATTACGTTTCTCAGTTCCATTTTGTCACAAATCATGAAACTATATGCTTGTAGGTATTTGGGTTTCATGAAACAACTGATGCATAATCGTGCACATCCTAAAGGGTCGATCGCAGAGAACTACATAAGTAACGAGAGTTTGAATTTTATCTCTCGTTACTTGCGGGGCGTAGAGACAAGGCTAAACCGTCCCCAATGAATAATTGACGGTACATTCTACAATGATCGTGGGGAGGACACTAGATTCCCCAGAATGGAGCTAGATCAAGCCCACACATATATCCTGAGCAATGATACTACATTTAACATATACGTGGCGTAAGTATTTAACTGTTTGAATCAGATTATATCACCTCACAATAATTATCTCTATTTAACCGTTATAAATGCTTTTTGTCTAGGCTTCACATCCGACATGTCCAGACTAATCTTAAATGCAAAACAAAAAATAAGAGAGTTATGGACACACACTCTAGACAATTCCCTACATGGCTGAAGGGTGAAGTAAGATCTTTTTACATTTTTGATTCGTATATCAAATGTATGTGCCTGTCAACAGATATGTAAACTATTTGCTTCTTTTCTTAAAGGTTGACAAATGGATTACGAATGGGATTAACCTGTCTGAGAAAGTTTGTTTATATGCCAGAGGTCCTTCTAATGTGGTTAAGCATTATGGAGGCTACTGTGTCAACGGCTTTAGGTTTAACATTGTCGGTCTCGGAAGTCAGAATCATAAACCCCTCACGGTTCAATCAGAATCTGTGATTTGGTGGTCCACGAGTCAAAGCGCTCCCGGCACAGGCAAAGATCCCACGAAAGCAGTGATCCAAACAACGATCCTGCGTTTATTTTCTCAAGAGTTGTAAATTTCTTTTTAGTTGTGTAAAAGAGTCTTATAAAAAGGCTGTTTTCTTTGAATTTATTGTAATCGACCGAAGATATAATGAATTCGACAACGAAATCAACTTTTGGCGAAAACAACGCCAAACAGTGCTTTTATGTCAAAGATATAATGAAAAATGACGAATGGGTTATCTTAAGAATCCGCCTAGAGCCTACATTCATGAAGTCGTGTCTGACGAAGATCACGATGAGGATGTTATCTTGGCCGACGAAATAGCCGAGGAGTTTTCATTGACACAAAATAATAATCTGGACAATGAAATTGCACTAGCGTACCCTGATGTACCTGCGATTATATGTGAGCCAAGGCATAAAGGTAAAAAACTTGTCCGCAGCGGAGTCGATAAAACTATAAGAACAGTCTTTTTGTTGGCATGCACACGGTCACAGGCTATCCGCACACGATCGCAGAGTAGAGCCTCAACATCATCAGTTTGACTGGTTATCATGTATCATGATGTGTCATGTATTATATTATTACCTTTATATTATCTGGTTGACTGGTTATCATGTGGATGTATCATGTATTATATTATTACCTTTATATTATCTGTTTGACTGGTTATCAAGTATCACGGTGTGTCATGTATTACATTATTACCTTTGTATTATCTGTTTAACTAGACATCATGTACACGCGATTCTGTTACCATGTGCTATTTTATTAATTATTTGCATTATATACTTTTGTTGGATATTTATTATGTTTTCAAAGTATAGATGACAAAAGGATTACGTAAGAAAGCGCTTGAGAGACTATTTGGTAGACATTCTGGAGGCGACGCACATGCCTCTACGTCAGGTATTTTTATTTATTTGTTATATCTGTACATTTCTATAAACTATTAACATGAGCCTAATATTTTTTTAACATTTACTACACAGGAGGAGGAGATGCTACACATGACTCGCAGCCACAGGACACATCACGCGGAGATGCTCCACATGACATGGAGACACAGGCTGATCCTACACAGCATGTAGAGATACCACCGCCACCGCATGCAGATGTATTGGAGGAGAGGAGATTTGAGCCGTATAGCGCAGCTTTAGAAACTGCGGCACTACCGCCAGATTCTATTACGGATCAGCGAGTCCACAGTCCAGCCAAGGTGAAGGGGGATTGGGATTCTTATCATGTGGTGCGCCCTATCGCGCAGCATAGGTACGAACAAGCAAAGCGTAGATGCCTCGAACTGAAAGGTATGAATAAATTTTTATAGTTTATCGGTTATTATTTTAAATTTTTTTGCAAATATAGATTGATTCATTGTTTCATTCGATTCTTTGTTTCGCAGGTACCGGGCGACCTCCTAGACGCGACCACAATGCTACCAAGGAAACGAACCTCATCCCTGATATTAATCAGAGGGCTGTGATCTGATGGGAAAACGGAGTGCCTGTCGGGGCCTTTGCCAATGCTTTCAACAATTTCCTTGCCGCTTTAGCCAGGAGACACGATTTCTTCAACATTTTTTTGACGTGGAAATCGTAGCGGATTGATGCGCTGGTGGCTTGTTGGAGATATATGTAGGCTGTCTAAAAATCACAATAGATAGCTGATTCCCCATTAAACACCGATGATGGAAGTTACAATTTGACGACTTCCAGAAGGCTACAATTTGAAGACTTTCACGTAGATCGCGGAAGGTTACAATCTAACGACATTCACGACAACTGATGAAAGCTCTAATCAACAGTCTTCACAATCAATATCGGGAGTTACAATCTGACGACTCTCACATATCAAAGACTAAAGCAAAGATTACAAAATGATGATCTTTGCAATGCTTCGATAGAAAGAGACTACAAATCGACGGTCTCTTCAAACCAAGACGTGGAAGTCCTCCCCGCGTACCAGTATCAAGACGCACCGCGTTCATAGCCACGAACGCAACACAAACGCAGCTCCAAACGCTGCAAACGCAGCTCAGATCCGCTGCTAACCGCTGCTCAACGCAGCTCTATACTGCTGCCCAACGCAGCTCCAAACGCTGCAAACGTAGCTCAGATCCGCTGCCAAACGCAGCACAAACACAGCTCAGATCCGCTGCCAAACGCAGTACAAACGCAGCTCCATCGCTGCCCAAACGCAGCTCTTCACCGCTGTCAAACGCATCTCCATCACTGCCCAAACGCAGCTTCCAAGCTGCCAAACGCAGCTTCCAACAAGATGTTGCGTCCGAGCTTCCAGACGCTGCGTTTAAGTGCATAATTCATGCCAGAATGCAAGATTTGCGTTTGACTCGTTCAAACACGAGCTAAACGGTTTCAAAACCGTTTCCCACGATTTGAGGGGATCACAACTCCACTCAGGAGTGAATTAAGGGGGTGGTTACACCCTTTTAATCCTCTATAAATAACTAAGAAATCAGCTTAGTTAAGGGCTGGCATTTTTCGGATCTGAGACTTGACAGCAAAGAGGGAAATTTAGAGAGTTTTGGAGATCAGCAACGAGGAGCTTCTTCATCCTTGGCTTATAACCTACTTTCGGTTAAATCAACTCGTTCAGAGTTTCAAACTTGCCACGCAAGTCCTCCACAACGTCAAATCGTGAGGAGGAGATATCATTCCAGTGAATCAAGACATTCGGATCGTCAACGGAGAGCAAACTCGACGCGAGCATTCGAGGGAGGCACTCCATCGCCACCGTGAAGAACCCAGAATTAAACAAAGGGGAGAATCCAGATCAATTCTCCTCTCTTTTATAATCAGGAAATCCAATTGTAATCGATTTTGAGAGAATACAAGTCAATTTTCTTTCACTGTCTTTTTACTGCAAATTTTCCACCAAACAAAAGATGTCGACTCTGCTGGGGACTAACTTCTCTGACGAAGAAGTGGTGGTGCAATCCGACGTTCATCTCATTGGAACAACCGTCGAAACTCTCGTGGTAGAGTTTGATCAAGCCAAGTACGAGAAAGCCCTCTCCTCTGGATCTCTTAGCTCCAAGGCTATGCGCAAGGTCCGCAAGAACTCCAAGAAGTCTAAAGCTCCAATCTCTGCCGAATCGCCGAAGGAAGTCCTCTCCTTTGGATTAGATTGCTTGAACAGCCCCTTCTCGGAAGGAGTGGGCTCAGCTTCGGCCAAACTCGTCCACCGAGTTGAAGGCGTTGCTGCCAAAGCCGTAAAACAGGCTAAGAAGAACGCCGCTCGACGAAGGAACCGATTCTCAAGTCAACACGAGCTTCGTGTTTGTGAGCCTAAACGCGACACTGTTTCTGTTTCAGAACGCAAGTCTCGCGTCTATGAGCCAAAACATAGGCTCTGTGTGAATAAGATTGAACGCAGCCCTAAATGGCGCGTTATACAATCGGAACGGCCGCCCCCTGGACCCCCGGCTCGCTGACCGGGCAGCGAGACCCCCGAATACTCTGCGTAGCGCGACTAGATCGAGGGGCGGATATAAAAAGTTCATGGATTCAAGGAATCTCAACCACATCCATGTTCACCAGGAGCCAGTCCTGTCTAATCATGGACTGGGGGTTCCAATTCAAACCTCACAATCAGTGAGTAATTCTCCTAGAATCTTTATAACAGATTCGAGAGAGTTCACATCGAGAGCAAGACCGATGCAACAAGTCATTCGTTCATTCCAATATGAGCGACTGATTCCTACGATCCTCTCGGGATGTCAATGCTGCTCATATGCGGCCAAACCATTGGTGTTCGACCAATTAACGGACGTTGCTTTGTCTAACCAACGACGATGTTCGCACAGGAAGAAGTCTCCAGAGACCGAATATCCTGAGGTCACTATCAATGTGATCGGCAGAGAGAAAGCCTCAGGTCCTAGTTCGGATGACTCTGAGACAAGTCGTTCACCGACCGTCAGAGAAATCGCTAACGAGTTTGAAGGAATCTACCAACGCACTCGGATGCGAACAAGAGCCATTCCCCCTGTTAACTATCGGAGGTTAGCCAGAGGAACCAATTCCAATGATGAACACTCAGCCATTGCAGAGTCCCAGTCATCAAGCTCTTTTGTTGAACATGAGAGCTTCGCTTATATGACGGGAAACCAT